TCTACTGAGTGCGAGACAGACGTGATTCCTATTTGTACTCACCTGTATGTAGTCAGAGAAGAGAAACTAATCATGAAAAAATAATTTAGACAATGGTTCGTTCTCCCTGAGGTTATTACATTCCCTTTGAGCAATAAACCCTTATGGAACATGCAGCCGCTCGCTCGTGTCATGTATGTCTTGGGACACAAAATATTCACACAGTGTGCAGCTCTCAGATAGTTCACATAATTGGGGTAGCTACAGTCCAATCAACTAGGCAGTGTAGGCCAGTGGACCACCAGCAGCAACAGCCAGGTTGACTAGGGAGGCACCAGTTGGGCCTGGCCCAAGGCCGGGTTCTGGGAGCAGGAAAAACTCGGGAAACTCATCAAAAGTATATCAGAGATAAAGGATTGCTAACAAGCCTTTTAATTAACCTGACATAAACCTTAAATGCTTCTTAGTTCTAGGACTTTCCACGATTTCAATCCCCGCCCGTTCCGTGGTTTGTTAATTAGGTTGGTTTGCGCTAACCAGAGCACCATGCAGCCTTCCTTACTGTCAGCAGAATAACACTGCCACGGCAAACATAAAAGTTTGCTCTACTCGCAAACGAAATTAAGGTGGTTCTTGAAATATGTAAACTGCTCTCATACACTGTGGCAGCCTGGCTACTGTGTGTACACTGTGGCAGCCTGGCTACTGTGTGTACACTGTGGCAGCCTGGCTACTGTGTGTACACTGTGGCAGCCTGGCTACTGTGTGTACACTGTGGCAGCCTGGCTACTGTGTGTACAACTGTGGCAGCCTGGCTACTGTGTGTACACTGTGGCAGCCTGGCTACTGTGTGTACACTGTGGCAGCCTGGCTACTGTGTGTACACTGTGGCAGCCTGGCTACTGTGTGTACACTGTGGCAGCCTGGCTACTGTGTGTACACTGTGGCAGCCTGGCTACTGTGTGTACACTGTGGCAGCCTGGCTACTGTGTGTACACTGTGGCAGCCTGGCTACTGTGTGTGTGTACACTGTGGCAGCCTGGCTACTGTGTGTACACTGTGGCAGCCTGGCTACTGTGTGTACACTGTGGCAGCCTGGCTACTGTGTGTACACTGTGGCAGCCTGGCTACTGTGTGTACACTGTGGCAGCCTGGCTACTGTGTGTACACTGTGGCAGCCTGGCTACTGTGTGTACACTGTGGCAGCCTGGCTACTGTGTGTACACTGTGGCAGCCTGGCTACTGTGTGTACACTGTGGCAGCCTGGCTACTTTGTGTACACTGTGGCAGCCTGGCTACTGTGTGTACACTGTGGCAGCCTGGCTACTGTGTACACTGTGGCAGCCTGGCTACTGTGTGTACACTGTGGCAGCTTGGCTACTGTGTATACACTGTGGCAGCCTGGCTACTGTGTGTACACTGTGGCAGCCTGGCTACTGTGTGTACACTGCGGCAGCCTGGCTACTGTGTGTGTGTGCACTGTGGCAGCCTGGCTACTGGTGTGACACTGTGGCAGCCTGGCTACTGTGTGTACACTGTGGCAGCCTGGCTACTGTGTGTACACTGTGGCAGCCTGGCTACTGTGTGTACACTGCGGCAGCTTGGCTACTGTGTGTACACTGTGGCAGCCTGGCTACTGTGTGTACACTGTGGTAGCCTGGCTACTGTGTGTACACTGTGGCAGCCTGGCTACTGTGTGTACACTGTGGCAGCCTGGCTACTGTGTGTACACTGTGGCAGCCTGGCTACTGTGTGTACACTGTGGCAGCCTGGCTACTGTGTGTACACTGTGGCAGCCTGGCTACTGTGTGTTTGTAAACTGTGGCAGCCTGGCTACTGTGTGTTTGTAAACTGTGGCAGCCTGGCTACTGTGTACACTGTGGCAGCCTGGCTGCTGTGTGTGTGTACACTGTGGCAGCCTGGCTGCTGTGTGTGTGTACACTGTGGCAGCCTGGCTACTGTGTGTGTGTACACTGTGTTAGCCTGGCTACTGTGTGTGTGTACACTGTGGCAGCCTGGCTACTGTGTACACTGTGGCAGCCTGGCTGCTGTGTGTGTGTACACTGTGGCAGCCTGGCTGCTGTGTGTGTGTACACTGTGGCAGCCTGGCTACTGTGTGTGTACACTGTGGCAGCCTGGCTACTGTGTGTGTGTACACTGTGGCAGCCTGGCTACTGTGTGTGTGTACACTTTGGCAGCCTGGATACTGTGTGTGTGTGTGTACACTGTGGCAGCCTGGATACTGTGTGTGTGTACACACTGGCAGCCTGGATACTGTGTGTGTGTACACTGTGGCAGCCTGGATACTGTGTGTGTACACTGAGGCGGGCTGGCTACTGTGTGTGTGTACACTATGGCAGCCTGGCTACTGTGTGTGTGTACACTGTGGCAGCCTGGCTACTGTGTGTGTACACTGTGGCAGCCTGGATACTGTGTGTGTGTACACTGTGGCAGCCTGGATACTGTGTGTGTACACTGTGGCAGCCTGGATACTGTGTGTGTGTACACTGGCAGCCTGGCTACTGTGTGTGTGTGTGTACACTATGGCAGCCTGGCTACTGTGTGTGTGTACACTGTGGCAGCCTGGCTACTGTGTGTGTGTGTGTGTGTGTGTGTGTGTTACCATTTTGTCCTAGGCACATGTCGATTAGACACTAGGCCTGTTGTATTTGCGAGTGTGTGTGTGTGTGTGTGTTGTGTGTGTGTGTGTGTGTGTGTGTGTGTGTTGTACACTGTGGCACCCTGGCTGGTGTGTGTGTGTTCACTGTGGCAGCCTAGGCTGCTGTGCGTATGCACACTGTGGCAGCCTAGTGTGTTGTGTGCGCGCACCCACACACTGGCAGCCTAGGTTGCTGTGTGTACATAATGTGGCAGCCTAGGCTGCTGTGTGTACATACTGTGGCAGCCTAGGCTGCTTTGTGTGCATACTGTGGCAGCCTAGGCTGCTGTGTGTACATACTGTGGCAGCTTAGGCTGCTGTGTGTACATACTGTGGCAGCCTAGGCTGCTGTGTGTACATACTGTGGCAGCCTAGGCTGCTGTGTGTACATACTGTGGCAGCCTAGGCTGCTGTGTGTACATACTGTGGCAGCCTAGGCTGCTGTGTGTACATACTGTGGCAGCCTAGGCTGCTGTGTGTACATACTGTGGCAGCCTAGGCTTCTGTGTGTGCATACTGTGGCAGCCTAGGCTTCTGTGTGTACATACTGTGGCAGCGTAGGCTGCTGTGTGTACATACTGTGGCAGCTTAAGCTGCTGTATGTACATACTGTGGCAGCCTAGGCTGCTGTGTGTACATACTGTGGCAGCCTAGGCTGCTGTGTGTACATACTGTGGCAGCCTAGGCTGCTGTGTGTACATACTGTGGCAGCCTAGGCTGCTTTGTGTACATACTGTGGCAGCCTAGGCTGCTGTGTGTGCATACTGTGGCAGCCTAGGCTGCTGTGTGTGCATACTGTGGCAGCCTAGGCTTCTGTGTGTACATACTGTGGCAGCGTAGGCTGCTGTGTGTACATACTGTGGCAGCTTAAGCTGCTGTATGTACATACTGTGGCAGCCTAGGCTGCTGTGTGTACATACTGTGGCAGCCTAGGCTGCTGTGTGTACATACTGTGGCAGCCTAGGCTGCTGTGTGTACATACTGTGGCAGCCTAGGCTGCTGTGTGTACATACTGTGGCAGCCTAGGCTGCTGGTGTGTACATACTGTGGCAGCCTAGGCTGCTGTGTGTACACTGGTAGCCTGGATACTGTGTGTACATACTGTGGCAGCCTAGGCTGCTGTGTGTACATACTGTGGCAGCCTAGGCTGCTGTGTGTACATACTGTGGCAGCCTAGGCTGCTGTGTGTACATACTGTGGCAGCCTAGGCTGCTGTGTGTACATACTGTGGCAGCCTAGGCTGCTGTGTGTACACTGTGGCAGCCTGGATACTGTGTGTACATACTGTGGCAGCCTAGGCTGCTGTGTGTACATACTGTGGCAGCCTAGGCTGCTGTGTGTACATACTGTGGCAGCCTAGGCTGCTGTGTGTACATACTGTGGCAGCTAGGCTGCTGTGTGTACACTGTGGCAGCCTGGATACTGTGTGTACATACTGTGGCAGCCTAGGCTGCTGTGTGTACATACTGTGGCAGCCTAGGCTGCTGTGTGTACATACTGTGGCAGCCTAGGCTGCTGTGTGTACATACTGTGGCAGCCTAGGCTGCTGTGTGTACACTGTGGCAGCCTGGATACTGTGTGTACATACTGTGGCAGCCTAGGCTGCTGTGTGTACATACTGTGGCAGCCTAGGCTGCTGTGTGTACATACTGTGGCAGCCTAGGCTGCTGTGTGTACATACTGTGGCAGCCTAGGCTGCTGTGTGTACATACTGTGGCAGCCTAGGCTGCTGTGTGTACATACTGTGGCAGCCTAGGCTGCTGTGTGTAACCATCTCTGAACACATCTCATGAATATAATTTTGCTATACTAATGAAATATACGCCTAAAATCCTAGTTTACAAAGAGTTTGGGGGGATGGCGGGATTTAGGTAAGGGGTTATTTTACAGAATGTTGAATAACGTTGTCGTCACAACACACTCAAGTTCCTTAAGATTCAATAGCATACATAGCTTGCTAGACCTGCCTGCACCCATGGACCTTGTGAGGTTGCTGTGCGTGGATGGTATCAAGGTGTGGGTGTGGATCTCGTCAGGTAGTGAGTGGTGTCAAGGTGTGGGTGTGGACCTCGTCAAGGTTTGGATGTGGGTTGTGTCAAGGTCTTTGCCTAGGTGGTGTTAGGGTGTGGGCGGTGTTAGGGTGTGGGCGTGGGCTCTTCCCCTCCTAACCTGGCTGTGCTCGACTTGGCCAATATTGATTGTAGGTTAGTGGCCGGGCGACACCTGGTGGCACTCTTGGAGGAGGTGCCCCTCCCCCTGGGAGTGCCCTGAGGGTAGCAGGAAAGAGCCACTGGCAGTATCAGAGTATTAACTGTAATAAGAACGTATTTTTATCACTAACATTGTGTTTCTGTTGTTGCAGGTGTGGGATGACGCGCGGAGTATGAGCTTAGTGAGAGCGGTATCGGGGGCGGCGCCCCCCGGTGGCTCCTTGGGGCGAGGAGCTCCCTGGGTGCGGTGGCGGGGGCCCCTGCTATTGCTGCTGCTGCTCCTGCTGGCGGCAGAGATAGCAGGCGGGGGCGAGGGCAGAGACTCGCTGTTTATAGTCGACAGGTTCGAGGACGAACCGTGGCAGCAGTTCACGCATCTAACGGTGGACAAGAACACGGGGACGGTATACGCAGGCGGCGTGAACCGCCTCTACCAGCTGGATCCCAACCTGCGGGTGCTGCAGAACGTGGTCACCGGCCCCGTCAACGATTCCATCGAGTGCTCAGCCAACGACTGCAAGACCAGTGACACCATCCGTACCATGAAGGCCACGCAGAACGTAAACAAAGTGCTGGTGATAGACTACACCCGCTCGCGGCTCATCGTTTGCGGCACGGTGCGGCAAGGGTCGTGTCAGGTGCGGGACCTGCGGGACATTCTGGCCCACACCCGCAATGTGAGCGAGGCCATCGTGGCCAACAACGCCACGGCTTCCACCGTGGCCTTCATTGCCCCTGGCCCACCGAACCCACCCGTGACTCACGTCCTCTATATCGGCGTCACCTACACCGGCAAGTCAGTGTACCGCGACGAGGTGCCGGCTGTGGCCTCGCGCTCCCTCGAAGATGACAAGTTCTTCGAAATCGCGGTGACGGACGTGACGACAAGTACGCGGATGCTGGTCAACTCGTTGGCCCGCGAGCGCTACCCAATCTCCTACGTGTATGGCTTCGGCTCCGAGAAATTCAGTTACTTCCTGACGCGGCAGATGGAGGATACACACGCCGGAACGCCGTACATCAGCAAGCTGGTGCGCGTGTGTCAGAACGACTCCGCCTACTACTCCTACACGGAGATTCCCATCGAGTGTAAGGACTCCCAGGGCAAGCGTTACAACCTTGCCCAGGCGGCCTATGTGGGCAAGCCGGGCACAGATCTGGCCACTCAGCTGGGTATCCAGACTAACGACGATGTCCTCTTTGCGGTGTTCTCACCATCAGAACCCAGCGAGGGGGAAGGGTCACCGCGCCCTGCCCAAGCCAGCGCACTGTGCGTCTACAGCATGAAGTCAGTGCGGCGCATGTTCATCAACAACATACAGGAGTGTTTCAGAGGCAAAGGTGACAGAGGACTAGACTTCATCTCCCCTTCACACAAATGCATCGAGACGGTAAGTCAGTCTGCTTTGATATTTGTATCTAGTCTAAAACTCTTCCCTGTAGGAGAAGTGACTGAGCTCTCCTGGGCAAAATAAAAAATAACAGCGTAAGTGTCAAACAGGACAACAACAATAGTTTAAGTTTGGTTTAGTTAGGTTAAATTAGGTAGGTTAGACTCGATAATATTAGATTAAGCCTAGGGAGTTTTTTTCCTCGCCCTCGGGACGCACAACAATGTTTTTACCGCAACTGCAAGAAAATTGATAAATTAAATAACTAGAACCTTCAGAACCAGGAATGTCAGACTAATGATGACTCTTCCGGTCACTCGTTCTCTCTAGGCTAGAATAATGCTGTGTATTAACGGCCCCTTCAAAGCAGGTGAAATTGCTGGGCTGGAAAATGTTCAAAGAATCTTCACAGTTTGTATTAAGCTAGGCTAAGCATCAAAATCACCGGAAGGGCTTGATGTCCCTAGAACTGTACTCCTTAAAACGTAGGAGAGAACGATGCATCATAATCTACTGGAAAATACTGGAGGGATTGGTACCAAATCTGCTCACTGAAATTACTGCTTATGAACAAAAGAGGCTTGGCAGACGGTGCAGGATACCTCCAATAAAAAGCAGGAGAGAGTGATGACTACACTTGACAGTGTTAAGGGACCACGACTCAACACCCGCCCTTCATGCGTAAGGGAGATTACCAACAAACCCTCCCTAGTACTTAGCTGTCTTCAAGTGGGAGCTCGACAGATTCCTCAAAACAGTTCCTAATGAACCGGGTTGTGGTGCATTCGTTGCGCCAGAAGCTTTTAGTGCCCACCGCCTGTGGGCACTAAAAGCTTGATCAGCCTGTCTAGCTTCAAGGAGGCCTAGTCTGAGACTAGGTCACGGGGGCGGTGTCCTCCGGAAGCGACCCCAAGTTAACTCCAGATGGAAAGGGGGGATTTACGTCGGTGTCCTAGGAGGGTGTTGTCCTGTCCCAGCCCCCTTCACGACAGCCAGGAAGATGACCCCGGGGGGGGGGGTATTGAGAACTTTCAAAACGAGGGAAATAATGCAGATGGTGACACTCTTCAAATCGTTAGCACTCCCTCACTTAGAATATTGCTCAGTGCTGACGGCTCCGTTCAAAGCAGGAGAAATATCGGAGCTGGAACAAATAGAGATCGTTTACGGCTCATATTGAGCCAGTAAAGCGCCTAAACTACTGGGAACGCCTGCAAGTCTTAAACATGTATTCATTGGAGCGGAGGAGAGAGAGGTACATGGTAATATATACCTGAAAAATACTCGAGGGCCTGGTCCCAAATCTGCACACTGCCATAACAACATACTGGAGTAAGAGATATGGGAGGAAGTGTAAGATAAACCCAGTGAGGAGCAGGGGTGCGGTGGGGACAATAAGGGAACACTGTATCAACATCCGGGGTCCCAGACTATTCAACATCTTACCAGAAGATATCAGAAACACGGCTGGGACAAGTGTAGAAGTCTTCAAGAGGAAACTAGACATCTTCACCGGGTGCCAGATCAACCAGGCTGTGATGAATGTGTGGGGCAGCAGGCCTCCAGCAGCAACAGCCTGGTTAACCAGGCAAGCACCAGACGAGCCTGGCCCATGGCCGGGCTCAGAGAGTACATTAACTTTCGAAATTCTTCATTGGTAAATCAAAAGTATATATAAAGGTATAGTGACCCCCCCACCCCGACAACCTGCTCCCCACTCTCTTAGCTGTCACTCTCCTAGTTGTTCCACACCCTGTTCCACACACACCTACTGCTACACACTGTTCCACACACTCCTACTGCTACACACTGTTCCACACACTCCTACTGCTACACACTGTTCCACACACACCTACTGCTACACACTGTTCCACACACACCTACTGCTACACACTGTTCCACACACACCTACTGCTACACACTGTTCCACACACTCCTACTGCTACACACTGTTCCACACACTCCTACTGCTACACACTGTTCCACACACCTGCTCCACTGTCACACACATCTACACTGTTCCACACACACCTACTGCTACAGTTCCACACACACCTACTGCTACACACTGTTCCACACACTACTGCTACACCCTGTTCCACACACACCTACTGCTACACACTGTTCCACACACACCTACTGCTACACACTGTTCCACACACTCCTACTGCTACACCCTGTTCCACACACACCTACTGCTACACACTGTTCCACACACTCCTACTGCTACACACTGTTCCACACACTCCTACTGCTACACACTGTTCCACACACATCCTACTGCTACACACTGTTCCACACACTCCTACTGCTACACACCTGTTCCCACACACACACTACACCTACGACACACTGTTCCCACACACTCCTACTGCTACACACTGTTCCACACCACTCCTACTGCTACACACTGTTCCACACACTCCTACTGCTACACACTGTTCCACACACCCATGCCTACTGCACATATCACACCTGTTCCACACACTCCTACTGCTACACACTGTTCCACACACTCCTACTGCTACACACTGTTCCACACACTCCTACTGCTACACACTGTTCCACACACTCCTACTGCTACACACTGTTCCACACACTCCTACTGCTACACACTGTTCCACACACTCCTACTGCTACACACTGTTCCACACACTCCTACTGCTACACCCTGTTCCACACACACCTACTGCTACACACTGTTCCACACACTCCTACTGCTACACACTGTTCCACACACTCCTACTGCTACACACTGTTCCACACACTCCTACTGCTACACACTGTTCCACACACACCTACTGCTACACACTGTTCCACACACTCCTACTGCTACACACTGTTCCACACACTCCTACTGCTACACACTGTTCCACACACTCCTACTGCTACACCCTGTTCCACACACTCCTACTGCTACACACTGTTCCACACACCACTCTACTGCTACACACCTGTTCCACACACTCCTACTGCTACACCCTGTTCCACACACCCTACTGCTACACACTGTTCCACACACACCTACTGCTACACACTGTTCCACACACTCCTACTGCTACACACCTGTTCCACACACTCCTACTGCTACACACTGTTCCACACACTCCTACTGCTACACACCTGTTCCACACACTACCTACTGCTACACACTGTTCCACACACTCCTACTGCTACACACTGTTCCACACACTCCTACTGCTACAACCACTGTTCCACACACTCCTACTGCTACACACTGTTCCACACACCTACTCTACACACTGTTCCACACACTCCTACTGCTACACCACTGTTCCACACACCACTGTACCACTGTCCACACACCTACTGCTAAAAACCACTGTTCCCACCCTATGTCCACACACCTACTGCTACACACTGTTCCACACACATCCTACTGCTACACACTGTCACATCACTACAGTCCACACACACCTACTGCCTAACACAACTGTTCCCACACACTCCTACTACTGCCATTCACACAACGCTACACACTGTTCCACACACTCCTACTGCTACACCTGTTCCACACACTCCTACTGCTTACACTGTCCACACACTACCTACTGCTACAACCACTGTTCCACACACTCCTACTGCTACACCTGTTCCACACACACTACTGCTACACCTGTTCCACACACCCTACTGCTACACACTGTTCCACACACTCCTATCCTACACCCTGTTCCACACACTCCTACTGCTCCCTCACACACTCCTACTGCTACACACTGTTCCACACACTCCTACTGCTACACACTGTTCCACACACTCCTACTGCTACACACTGTTCCACAACCACTTCCACTTCAACCTACTGCATACACACTGTTCCACACACTCCTACTTGCACACACTGTTCCACACACTCCTACTGCTACAAACACCTGTTCCACACACTCCTACTGCTACACACTGTTCACAACTCCACGCTAGTTCCACACACCCTACTGCTACACACTGTTCCACACACTCCTACTGCTACACACTGTTCCACACACTCTACTGCTACACTGTTCACACACCCTACTGTACACCTGTTCCACACACTCCTACTGCTACCACTGTTCCACACACCTACTGCTACACACCCTGTTCCACACACTCCACTGCTACACACTGTTTCCACACACTCCTACTGCTACACACCTGTTCCACACACTCCTACTGCTACACACTGTTCCACACACTCCTACTGCTACACACTGTTCCACACACTCCTACTGCTACACCTGTTCCACACACTCCTAAGCTACACTGTCACACACCTACTGCACCTGTTCCACACACTCCTACTGCTACACACCCGTTCCACACACTCCTACTGCTACACCCTGTTCCACACACTCCTACTGCTACACACTGTTCCACACACTCCTACTGCTAACACACCCCTGTTCCACACACTCCTACTGCTACACCCTGTTCCACACACTCCTACTGCTACACCCTGTTCCACACACTCCTACTGCTACACACTGTTCCACACACTCCTACTGCTACACCCTGTTCCACACACTCCTACTGCTACACACTGTTCCACACACTCCTACTGCTACACCTGTTCCACACACTCCTACTGCTACACCTGTTCCACACACCTCCTACTGTCTACACCACTGTTCCACACACTCCTACTGCTACACACTGTTCCACACACTCCTACTGCTACACCCTGTTCCACACACTCCTACTGCTACACACTGTTCCACACACTCCTACTGCTACACACTGTTCCACACACTCCTACTGCTACACACTGTTCCACACACTCCTACTGCTACACCACTGTTCCACACACTCCTACTGCTACACACTGTTCCACACACTCCTACTGCTACACACGTTCCACACACTCCTACTGCTACACACTGTTCCACACACTCCTACTGCTACAACACTGTTCCACACACTCCTACTGCTACACACTGTTCCACACACTCCTACTGCTACACACTGTTCCACACACTCCTACTGCTACACACTGTTCC